GCACGTCCTTCACGCCCTACCGAGGTCACGAGTTGCTGCCTATGAGTGGCTCTTCGGCACGGCCATGGCTCCATAGGCAAAAGGACTTAATCCAGAGCTCAGCAGCTTGCGGCAGAAAAGTGAATGGACCATGCATTAAACTACAACTCCATGCCTCCCAGAGAGGAAAAGGGTGTTGCTCCCTTCAGCCTTTTTCCCGCCCGGAAGCAAGGTGGCCACCACCTCAGAGCTTATTGAAAAGCCAGGTATGAGCCAGCGGGGAACGGGGCAACTGCAGTCTCATAGGAAGGGGGGCTGTACCAGCACGTCCTTCACGCCCTACCGAGGTCATGAGTTGCCCCCCACAAGCGACTCTCTGGCACGGCCATGGCTCCAGAGGCAAAAGGACTTAATCCAGAGCCGGGAAGCTTGCAGCAGAAAAGTTAATGAACCATCCATTAAACTACGGCTCCATGCCTCTCAGGGAGGGAAAGGGTGTTGCTCCCATCCGCCTTTTTCCCACCCGGCAGCAAGATGGCCACTGCCTCAGAGCTTATTGAAAAGCCAGGTATGAGCCAGCGGGGACAGGGCAACTGCAGTCTCATGGGAAGGGGGCGGTACCAGCTCATCCTTCACGCCCTACGGAGGTCACGAGTGCCCCCCACCCCACCCCAAGCGGCTCTCTGGCACAGCCATAACACCAGACGCACAGAAACCAATCTTGTAATTATCTGACTCTTTGCAGAAATCCAAAATCGCAAGGCTGCTATTGCGGCCACTCAAGATTATATGATTCTCATAACCAGCTATAGAAAACAAAGTATTTCACAATGCCTATTCAGCAACTCTGATTGTTGTGGGGGAAATTCTAAACAATAATGGTGCATCTTTTGTCGAAATAATAAATGTAATCAATGTAGAGAAGAGTTATGTGGAAATCATCTGCCTCATAGGCATTGGGAGGGGTGGGAGGGGGGTATATTGTGGTTCTTGGTGGTGAAAAATGAGTACTGGTGAAGGGAAAGGTGTTTGAGCATTGCATGATTGAGACTTAAGCCTGAAAGCTTAGTAACTTTTCCCACAGTGATTCAATAAATAAATATAAGAAGAAAAATAAATAAAATTATGAAAAAAGTAAGGTGGAGTTCATGTCCAATTTAATCAGTTAATCAGTGGCTGAATAAATAGCAGTACTCCTACATAATATAATATAATATAATATAATATAATATAATATAATATATATAGGAACTGACCCATTGTCCATTGTCCATGCCCTCCCTCTATAGCAATCTAATCTGGGAATTCAAAATCCAAGAGCATGATTTGGATTGGCTTTGAATATTACATTGTTTTGATGCTTTATATCGCATATAGTAGATGTGTGAAATTATCCATTATTTATTACTTTTCTTCTTCTTTATTGTGCTTAGCATGCCCCCTCCTATTCCATCTATATCATTACAATTGCAAGAGAGTGTTTTTTCTTAAACCTGAGTGGTATTCCACTGTGGATACACAGCGCCCTTCATTATCCACTGATCTGTACTTGGGCTTGGACACTTTGGTTGTTTCCTTAGCTTAGCTATTATAACTAGCATGACAATGAAGATAGGAACGCATACCTTTTAAACTAATGTTCTTCTATTCTTGGATAGATGCAAAAGAAAAATAACAAAATTACATGTATTTCTATTTTTTGGTATTTAGAGAAATCTCTACACCGTTTCCCGAGAGGCTGTTTAGTTTGTATTCTCATAAAAGCACATTCCTATTTCTCATGTTAAGATATTTACCTGCATTTGCTGTTTCTGATCTTTACTATATAGGCTTTTCCCTAATTCATTGAGAGCAAGAGTGTAAACATGCATTTACAATTATTTGAGGAGGGTTGTTAATGGTCTGTAAATCTCTTAAATTCGTATTGTCTGATTCCTTAAACTTTTGTTCTCTAATTTTAGCACTATTTACAAGGCAGTTGTTCCAATATAAATGCAATTCTGCTGAAACTGTGGAGAAGAGAAAACTCTAGATTCTTACTGTTCTACTATCCTTCCCTGACCCCAATCATGCATGCTGTTTTAGTTGAGCTGAGGTATCTTCCAGATCCTGAGATTCAATAATAAGCAAAAATGTCTAATATAAAGACATTATTACTTAACTATCTAAATGAATATTCTGAATAATTGTTAGTATTTATAAAGTAAGCTTTTAAACAGAAACCCTGGTAACAGCAAAAGATGAAACATTTTTAGGCTTGTCAGAACTGAGAAATATAATTCAAGAAAAAATTGTGAGAATGAACTAATTTTCTTTCTTTTTCTTAAACTTTTTTATTGAATCACTGTGAGATAGACCCAAACAAAGCTGTTCAAGATTGAATTTTAGTCATATAGTATTCCAACACCCAATCCATCCACCAGTGTATATTTCCCATCACCAGTGTCCCCAGGTTCCCTCCCATCACCCCCAACCCCGCCTCTATGGTAGGCGTTTTTCTTTTCTCTCTCTCCCTCTCTCCCTCTCTCTCTCTCTCTCTCTCCTTTTGGGCATTGTGGTTTGAAATATTGATATGGAAAGGTTATCAAGAATATCCCTTTACCTACTTTTATGCCTCATGTTGTCCAGCATGATCATTCCCAGCTATTATTATTATTGTCATACTGGTCTCTTCTCTCTCTCCTCTATCTTACCTACCCTCAGCTCCACGCATACTTGTGATTAGTTCAACTATTGACCAATCCTCCTAATCTCTGTTTTCTCTAGCAATGTGTATTAGTCTTCATATATATATATATATATATATATATATATATGTGTGTGTGTGTGTGTGTGTGTATGTATGAACACACCCACACATATATATTTATAATGTTTGGAATTGACACTTGAAAAGATTCTCACAAAATATCATTTCACTTCCATATACACCTAGATACTAGATTAAAACACTGTCCTCCCATTGTTCATCGATTTACTTGAGCGGGCCCAGTAACGTCTACATTTTGAGACTTGTTGTTACTGTGTTTGGCATATCGAATACATCACGGGTAGCTTGCCGGGCTCTCTAGGAGAGCCCGGCAAGCTACCGAGAGTATCTCACCCACGTGGCATAGCCTGGCAAGATACTAGATTATTGATCCTAAAATATATATTCTTTATTCATATCAATACTGAAGACATAGAAATATAAACAGTTCTTGATTCTAAATTCCTATAGCACTGTAGCACTGTCCTCCCATTGTTCATTGATTTGCTCAAGTGGGCACTAGTAACATGTCCATTTTGAGACTTGTTGTTACTGTATTTGGCATATCAAATATGCCACAGGGAGCTTGCCAGGCTCTGCTGTGTGGGCGGGTAACTCTTGGTAGCTTTCCGGGCTCTCCGAGAGGGAAGAAACAATTGAACCTGGGTCAGCTGCATGCAAGGCAAATGCCCTACCTGCTGTGCTATCGCTCCTGCCCTAAATTCCTATAGCCCTTATAAATGTATACTGTCTCTTAACATGGCTGTCACATTATAATCAATCTATAAATTTCAGTTATATGTGGCTCATTCTATATACCCATGTTTATTTTACTGTATTTTCTATGTTGGGCTGGAGCGATAGCACAGCAGTAGGGTGTTTGCCTTACAAGCGGCCAACATGGCCGGCCCAAGTTCAATTCCTCCACCCCTCTCGGAGAGCCCCGCAAGCTACCGAGAGTATCTCGCCTGCATGGCAGAGTCTGGCAAGCTACCCGTGACGTATTCGATATGCCAAACACAGTAACAACAAATCTCATGATGGAGACGTTACTGGGCCCGCTTGAGCAAATAGATGAACAACGGGAGGACTGTGACCGTGACAAAGAACCATTTTCTATGTTTGGATGGCCATCAATTAGAGATGTGACTTAAATATACAGTGAATAAAGAATGAAGAATACTGCTCTATGGTTTAAATAAAGCTTAAGCAAGAGATTATACTTGAAAACACAAATAAAACTTATTTTTTCTTTGTTATATAAATTCAATAAGCTATGTTAATATTTTTCGTTGTTTGAGAGTTACAATCACAAATTCTCTGGGCTTACTCCTTGTTTTGTGTTCAGAGATCACTCTTGGCAGTGCTCAAAGACCATATGGTGCTAGGGACCAAACTTAGGTTGGCCACTTGCAAGGCACATATCTTGCCTTCTGTGGTATCTCCTTGGGCCCATCTATCTTAAATTTTAAGTGAACTCACTAATAATACCAAAATAAAGGATAACATCTTCAAGAAGAAAATAAAATCCTCTTGTTTTAAAATTAATTTTAATTTGAAGTAAATTGGTTAAGTTCTTATCAGAGTCTTTGTAAGAGTCATACCAGAAACAATACAATTAATTGCTGCCTAGAATTAAGATGATAAATACAAAGTCAGTTATATTCTCAAGGCATTCATATTCATATATATTTAAAGTATATTCAGATATATTTACAGGTATATATTTGGTGGATGACTCATTCATATGCAATTAAGTAGAAAACAAAATACTCCAACCTACAATAAATGCAGAGAATAAATAGAAGAAAGTAAAAACATGCAGATTTGGGGTGACGTGCAAGGGATATGATCTATTTGAGACCATCTATTTCAAAAATAATAAACTAGGGCAAGAAAGAGTACAGAAGCAGGAGAGGTAGTTTAACGAGAAGAGGGTTTGCCTTGCAAGCGGCTGACTTGGGCTTAATCCAAATACCACATACAGTTCCCAGACAGCCAGGAATGATTCTTGAGCAGAAGCAGGAGTAAGTGCTGAGCACTGCAGGCATCACCCAAAAACAAAAACAAAAGAGGATAGTACAGGAGATATAACACTATTTTGAATGCTGCTAAACCTTATTCGAATTCCTAATACTGCAAATAGTTTCCTAAGCACGGCCAGAGGTTACTTGAGAAGAGTCAGAAATAGTCCCTGAGCATTGCCAGTTGTATTCCAAACACCAAAAAACACTTAGAAATAAGAATATAATAATATAAATTGATTCCTTACTCCACGGTACTGCTTTTCATTGAAAATCTGGGGTGGCAGGGGGTAGCCTGTGGCAGGTCGGCTATTTTCTGGTACATTTTCTCTCATCCACTTCCGATTCTCTTCATTTACTACAATATCTTTTTCTTCAAATCCTATTTTGTTAGCTTCTAAGAAACCAAGAATATCTTGCTGCTTCTTCTTAATCTAGTAGAGAAATCACAAAAAAAATCATATTTTTAAAAAGCTTTTAATTTTTAAATATAGTGAAAATTGTTCATGTACAACCAAAATGAATTAAGAAATAGATTAATATTTGTTGCTTTATAAAAGATATGTGGGTTTACTTTTTAAAAATGTGTCACAAGGGAACTGGAGCAATAGCACAGCGGGTAGGCCATTTGCTTCCCACGCGGCCGACCAGTGTTCAATTACCAGCATCCCATATGGTCCCCTGAGCACCGCTAGTTGTAATTCCTGAGTGCCAAGTCAGGAGTAACCCCTGTGCATCGCCAGGTGTGACCCAAAAAGTAAAAAAAGTGCCATTAGAAAACAACATTTTTCAAACACCAATCTTTCTATCAACTTTACTTGTACTTTTTTCATTTGAAAATAACCACATCTAATGATGCAGAAACATAGGTGTTGGATTTTAAAGTTCAGCAGACCAAAAAGAAATATAGTAGAAAACTGCATTTGCAGATTCTCTGAAAGCCTTGCTTCATTTTATCCACTGTTGAACGTCTTCCCAAACAAGACTATTTCCCTCTTAACAAACATCATAGAGTGAAAATTAATCTGTCCTTGAAAATACTAAATGCTCAGAATACTATACATTTTAACTTCCACTGTTAAGTTGAAAACTGAATAAGATATAAGCAATAAGTCTCCTTTATACTATATTTGGAGTATACATTCACCACATATTAAGTAAAAAGTAAAAGTAAAGGCCCTCCCGTTGATCATCGATTTGCTCGAGCGGGCCCAGTAACATCTCCATTGGAGACTTTGTTGTTACTGTGTCTGGCATATCGAATACATCACGGGGAGCTTGCCAGGCTCTGCCATGTGGGTGCGGGCGAGATACTCTCGGTAGCTTGCCAGGCTCTCCGAGAGTGGCGGAGGAATCGAACTCGGGTCCGCCATGTTTGCTCCGTGCAAGGCAAAAGCCCTACCGCTGTGCTATTGCTCCAGACCACATATTAGACTTTAAAATACGTGTTATTATGCTGACTGGTTCAGCCCTTCTGGAAAACAGTATGGACGATTCTCCAAAAATTAGAAATTGAGCTCCTATTTGACCCAGCAATACCACTCTTGGGAATATATCCCAGAGAGGCAAAAATGTATAGTCGAAGTGACATCTGCACTTGTTTGTTCATTGCAGCACTCTTTACAATAGCCAGAATCTGGAAAAAACCTGAGTGCCCGAGAACAGATGACTGGTTAAAGAAACTTTGGTACATTTACACAATGGAATACTATGTAGCTATTAGAAAAGATGAAGTTGCGAAATTTACATACAAGTGTCACTACATGGAAAGTATCATGTTAAGTGAAATGAGTCAGAAAGAGAGGAATAGACATAGAAAGATTGCATTCATCTGGGGAACATAAAGTAACAAAATAGGAGACTAACACCCAAGAGAGGCCGAGATTAGTACCAAGAATTTTGCTCCATGGCTTGGAGGTCAGCCACACATGCTAGGGGAAAAGGGAGCTCAGATAGAGAAGGGAGCACCAAATAAAGGGTGTTGGGAGGATCCTCCCAGGATGGGAGAAGCATGCTGAAAGTAGACTATAGACCAAACATGATTGCCACTCAATGCCTCTTTTACAAATCACAATACCCAAAAGGAGAGAGAGAGAACAAAACGGAATGCCCTGGCACAGAGGCAGGGTGAGATGCGGGGAATGGGGGGTGAGAGGGATACTGGGAGCCGTGATGGTGGAAAATGGGCACTGGTGGATGGATGATTACTTGATCATTGTATAACTGAAACCCACGCACAAAAAATTGTAAGTCTACAACCGTACCTCATGGTGTTTCACTAATAAAAATTTTAAAAAATAAAAATAAAATACATCTTGTTAAGTTATGCTACTTCTTCAATGATTTTACATTGAAGACAGAAAGTTCACTTATTTTCTCTCCCAATCACACTTTGGAGAGGGCTTTAAAATAGTAAAAGTAGTGCTTCTTAGTCGGTTTCTTCTCTGATATATACTCTTTTAGAATCTTTAACAGATCTGTGGTAATTTATCAAAATTTGAAATTATCATCATTCCTAAGCTATAAAGCACAATCAATAAAAGTTTATCAATAGAGTCACCCTAAAGACACAGAGGAGAATACAAAGTTTAGAAGCAGGAAGCCAAGATAAGTGAATAGTTTCTCTCTGCTCAGTCAATAAAAAAGTGAATAAGAACCTGTGTTAACTTCCTCTGCATTAACAGCAAAATCTATTCTAAAAATTAGTTGAAGAAATGTACTTGAAATTCTCAGAATAAAAGAGAAGAAGAAGAACTCCTGGGTGGATTCCAGAGAGGACCCCCTCTCCAGGGGAAAGGAATCACTACACAGTAGAAGTCTGAAACTGGGAGGAGAATGTAAGGCAGTGTAAACCGCATGAAATTAGGAAAGCCATGGCTGGCCTCGGCTGCAGCCAGAGGTTCACTCAAAGTGGGGAGTCCTGCAGGGATGTGCACAGGGGTGAATGTGCCTACCATTCTGGGAAATAAAATGAGGAGGGAATTCCCTAGTGAGAATTCAAAGAGAAAGCAAAGAATGTTATTACCAGGAAAGAGGATCCAGGACACAAAATGCTAGGCAGCAAACAGGAGAGGAAGTTACAATCCCAACTGCATATAGAGTGGACAAATTCAATCCAGGGAATCCCACAGTGATTTTCACAAGATTAAGTGTAGCCAAAACCTCCAGGAGCAATGGTCTCACTTAATTGGAAATGTCCCAATGCTGAACTCCAGAACACAAATCTGAGGAAGGAAAACAAGTCCAAGGCAATACAATAGGGCTGTACCTTCAGACTCAGTGGCCAGTACCTAGATAAATGCATGGAGTCCCACAGCAACTAGGACCAGAGTAAGCATAACTGAAACCCTTAAAGGTAAGGAGTGAAAGGAGATCTCCCTAGTAGAGAGAGGGATGCCTTCATCGAGAAAAAGAAAACACCCATTGCATATCATCAAGCTGCAAGCAGGAAGACATCTATAAACCACCTTAACACAAGACATAATAAAGAAGACATAAGAAAAGTAATAGATTTGGGGTGATGAATGACGACAGCCTGGGAAGGAATTCAAGTGCATCATAAATCCCCAAATTTCCTGAAGACTTCAAAATAACAACTTCACACCAAAATTATAAATGTCGATGCCATTGTAAAATTCCTAACTATAATAAATGGACACTTTCCGGAAACTCAGGCCAACACTTACGCATGAGTGAAGCCCCACAGAACCAGGGAAGTGTAATTCTGTGACCACTCAATGGAACCAGGAACAGAGACCCTCTACCTGTTCCCAGCGGCCTGGCAGACCTCCATTACCTCCACTGCCTCCACTGCCCAGCCACCGCCACACTCCAGGACGCTTTCCAGACCACAAGGCTGCAAAGCGGCTGTGCAACACATCATAAAATGCTTAATACAAGATTACCGCACCATATTTGATGAGGTTCAAATATGGTATGAACCATGGAATACCTTCAAGGGCGATTAGAGGCCACCATAAAAGCCTCTAACACTCTTGAAGAGCCTGGCAAGCTACCGGGAGTATGCTGCCCACACGGCAGAGCCTGGCAAGCTATCCGTGATATATTAGATATGACAAAACCAGTAAAAACAATGGGTCTCATCACCCTGACCCTAAAAAAGACACCAACATGGCAGCATTAAGAAGGATGAGGAAGGAGAGGCTGACAAAATCTCAGGGCCGAACTAGGCTGCCAAAATGAAGGACAAAAATGACTGTACTTTCAGTGCAGTCTCCTGCCTCCATGCATGGCTGTTCTCACTGGGGTCCCTTGGAGGAGGGTAGGTTGAGTTTCCCTCCCCAGCCAAAGCAGAGCCCTAGCAGCTGAAGACTTCCGGTTCCAGCCACAGCCATGCTTAAGACCACTCTCCACACATTTGGCCGAGCCTCACACATGAAGGAACCGGCCAAGGAACACGGGTGTGTGGGACTCGGAGCGTAGATCTCCAAGCCTGCTAAGATTGGGACTGGGGCCGTCTCCACCCAGATCCCCCATCTTCCCGTATGTAGGCATTACACCCACCAACTGCCCCCAGCGTCATGTAATCCCATCAACAGCCAAGACCCAGAGACTATAAAACTCTGCTCCCAGAAATGCGAGGCCTCATTCACAGCCACACAACATCTTATTATCTAGTTCTTACTCTGGAGAACCTGGCAGGCAACCAAAAGTATCCTGCCCACATGGCAGAGTCTGGGAATCTCCCCATGGCGTCCAATATGCCAAAAACCAGTAACATTGATAGGTCTCATTATCCTGACCCTGAAAGAGCCTCAAATGTGGTAATTTTTAAAATCTCAGGGCTAGGACAAAGGAGACGTTACTGGGGCATGCTCAAGGCAATTGATGAACAACAGGATGACAGTGACAGTACTTTCAATGCACGTACGCTGACATTGAATGTATCCATCGAAGACCAGATGGTGAAAGTGCGAAAGATCAAGTACGACATCATTGGTATGACCGAGATGAGAAGGCATCACATCACGCTGTTTTCAACACTGGAGAAGAACTGTTCCTCAGAACATATGACAAAAGAGGAGTTGGTGGTGTCAGTGTCCTTGTCAACACAAACATGGCCATAAACATTGATTCATTTGAAAGCCTAACAACCCAAACTGGATGATTACACTTGAATAGATGTGGCTCACTGTCGACAGTTTCTATCTTCGTTGTCTACGCATCAACATCCAATTATGATAAAGGAGAAATAGAAAAGTTCTACATGGAGCTGGAGAACTACTATAAAGAAGACCACACCTTCTGCAAGATCATTGTCAGTGATTTAATGCCAAGATAGGACCGAGAAGATCAGCCAAAGAACTCCACATTGGGAACCATGGCCTAGAATGGAACGAACAGGGTGAGAGATTGTCTGAGTTCATTATGTCGACCATGACCACCCATGGTAACTCACAATTCTAGAAGGCCG